AGTATTAAAATAGTTATTAACATGGCCAAAATTGTGATATATTAATGTATGTGCTTATTTTTAGCTACATTAAGTCATGTGATACAGCAGTGGATCTAATAAACATAGCATCAAATCCAACAGATCCATGTCCACAGGCAGTCACTGCAGCTTCATGCAAGAATTGTAGGTCACACAGGAAAAAATTCTGTAATTCATTTGAATGGTAAAAGTGCCACACTGCTAAAAACCACTGTGGCTTTTACGTACATTCACACTTTGAAGAAAAATGGAAATTTAATTAGAATTTAGTAAAAATATGATTTTTCCTTATCACGAATTTCTGAGCTGCTGGGCGGTGGTTGTGCATGCTTTTAATCCCAGCACTTGGGAAGCAGAGACAGCCAGGTCTACAAAATGAGTTCCAGGACAGGCTCCAAAGCTACACAGAGAAACTCTGTCTCAAAAAAAAAAATAAATAAATAAAAAAATAAAAAAAATCCCTGAGCTGGGAAGAATCCCTGAGCTGGGAACACAGTTCAGAAGCATAATGCTTGCCTAGTGTTAGTGTGTGTGAGGCCCTAGGTTCAATTCCTAGCACTACCAGAAAAGAAAGAAAGAAAGAAAGAAAGGAAGGAAGAAAGAAAGAAAGAAGAAAGGAAGAGAAAAAGAAAAATTAACTCTTGTCCTAAGAACGAAAGTGCCCTGGTCCAAGGGCACTTCCTTTCTTGGAGCTCCTGGTGCAGACTGGACCCCCCACAGGCTGAGGGAGTCAGTCTCAAAGTCCTACTAGGTTTTTCTCAAATTCAGGTGGCAATAGACTTTTAAATTTTTCTTCTTGCAATTTTTTTTTTGTGTGGTGAATATTTGCATGTATATGGATCTGTGCGTATGTTTAGGCCAGAGGTTTGACATCAGGTGTCTTTTTCCTTCATCGTTCTCTATCTTAATTTATTGAGTTAAGAGTCTCAAACCTGAACCCAGAACTTGCCGATTTGATTAGTGTACTTAGTCAGTTTGCTTTGGGAATCCCTGTCTCAGGCCCTGTGAACTAGGATTTCATGATGACCACCAGACCCATTTAACCCATACATTTGGGCACTGGAGATATGAATTGTGGTCCTTACACTTCTGTGGCAAGTGCTTTGCCTACTGAGCGATCATCGCAGCCCAGAATTTGTTTTTCATAGTATCCTTAGAACACTAAATAATGTAAAGAAACACAATCCTGATGGCAAAATCTAATAATAAAAGCATAACTCCAGCAGGGTGTGGTGGAACATTCTGGACCCTTAGACTAGGGAGTTCAAGGCCAACTTGGGATGTACCGTATCCTTCTAGACAGGATGTTCCCTGTCTACCACTACTCCCTCCAAAAGAAAAAAGAACAGCATTATGGGTGAATATGCTTATTTCAGTTGGATTATTATTACTATTTTTTTGAGACAGGGTTTCTCTGTGTAGCCCTGGCTGGTACAGAACTTACTTTGTAGATCAGGCTGACCTTGAACTCAGAGATCTGCCTGCCTTTGTCTCGTGAGTGCTGGGATTAAAGACATGGTATGTGCCACCATCACCCAGATATCAGTTGGATGTTATTACAGTTTGATACATAAGTAAGGAAATAAGTAGTGACATGCTATGTGTATCCTGTGAGTGGAATAACCAGCTAGAGAATTCATCAGCTAGCTTAAGTACCCTGCCACGGGAAAATTACAGTGTTGGAGACTGTGTCAAGGAACTATTTTTGATCTAAGTTAGGTTGATAAATGATAGGATCGTGGTATGCTATCATAACTACTTTGTATAATATATGATCTGGATGCAAATAGGGAATGCAATGAAAATAGGCCTATTATGTCCAAGATGACAGAAAATGACCTAGTTTTTCTTTTATTGTACAAATGTAAATTTATTTTAAGTCAGTAGGTCAATAGCACACTTATGAACAAATGCTATCTATCTGTGTAGGTCTCTAATCTGTGAAATGTAGGTAGTGCATACATTTCACACTCAAATGCTCACTGTCTGCTCTACTGGGGCAAAGAAAGGTTGGATCTTTATGAGTCTGGGGCCAGTCTGGTCTGCAGAGCAAGTTCCAGGCCAGGGCTCCAA